AAGTTCTGTTTTTTTGTTGAAGTGAGTTTGTGGTGTTTTTTGAACTTGAGTTTGTGGCAATTATTGAACTTGAGTTTGTCACGTTTTTTGAACTTGAAATTTTGGCATTTGTTGAACTTAATCTTTAGGTGTTTGTTGAACTTGAGTTTGTGGTGTTTGTTGATGTCCAAGTTGTGGCAATTGTTGAACTTGATTTTGTGGTGTTTGTTGAACTTGAGTTTGTTTTTGTTTTTTTGTTTAACTTGAGTTTGTGGCAATTGCTGAACTTGAGTTTGTGGCATTTGTTGAACTTGAGGTTTTGGTGTTTGTTGAACTTGAGTTTGTGTGTTGAACTTGAGATTGTGGTGTTTGCTGAACTTGAGTCTTTGGCAACTGTTGAACTTGAAGTTGTGGCATTTGTTATACTTGAGTTTGTGGCATTTGTTGAACTTCAGTTTAAGGTGTTTGTTGAACTTAAGTTTGTGGTGTTTGCTGAACTTGAGTTTTTGGCAATTGTTAAACTTGAGTTTTTGCATTTGTTAAACTTAAAGTTGTGGTGTTTGTTTAACTTCTGTTTTTTGTTGAAGTGAGTTTGTGGTGTTTTTTGAACTTGAGTTTGTGGCAATTATTGAACTCGAGTTTGTCACGTTTTTTGAACTTGAAATTTTGGCATTTGTTGAACTTAATCTTTGGGTGTTTGTTGAACTTGAGTTTGTGGTGTTTGTTGATGTCCAAGTTGTGGCAATTGTTGAACTTGATTTTGTGGTGTTTGTTGAACTTGAGTTTGTTTTTGTTTTTTTGTTTAACTTGAGTTTGTGGCAATTGCTGAACTTGAGTTTGTGGCATTTGTTGAACTTGAGGTTTTGGTGTTTGTTGAACTTGAGTTTGTGATACATACGTATTGACAGTCAATTAAAAAGAAGAAAATACACAAAAGCAACAATATTATCAATTTAAATACTTTTTATAAAAATAAAAAAAACAATTTCAAACCAGTATTGTTTTTTTTTCTGTGCTTTTCTTCAAAGAGCAATTGTTCTACATTCTACAACAAGATTGATTCCAATGCTGCAGCAACTGAGAAAGGGAATGGAACTGTATGGCCTGGTGAACCTGATGGCATCAAACCCCGCAGCTTGCCACTCCTTGTTTGTTCCTGGGAAGATCAGCAAAGTAAACTTTTATATCAGTTCTTTTTTTTAACTTTTTTTTTTCTTAAACACTTTATTTGTAATTTTCCAATTATCATATAAAACGATCATTATTTTACAATCGTTTTACAAATAACTATAGAAAAACAATCCTAAAGTAAAAATTTTAACTGCCACTTATTTTGTTCTTACATAGCCTACATTGTTGTTCTGTAGTGCAATTTCCATTTTGTATGTCATTAATAGCCTGAGTTTGTACACTTAAAGATATTTAGCCAAATCTACATTCACTCTTTATAGCCTGATGCTGATTCCATGATGATGAACTGCCAGCCACATTACAGTGAAAAGGGGACATCTAAGGAAAGAGCTGAGAGGAAAGTGATCAACTTCCTCCAAGATTTCTTAGAAGAGCTTGAAATGCTATTAATGTTCATGTTCTAATGTCAGACACCTTGTGCAAGAACTGTATGTACAAGTCACAACCATGTGACTGAGAATGTCCCAGAGGATCAATAGTTCTCTGAAGTTCCTCCAGGGCGTCATCATCCAGTGGGCATGCGATGTCAGGAACCACATCTGCTCCATTTGAGTCCTCTTGCAGTACGACACTCTCCCAGTCAATGTCTGGGTCTTGAATTTCCTACAGATCCAGAAAGACAAAAAAAAAAAAAAAAAAAAACAATGACTCAAGACTGTTATGAAAATATTGCACTGCTGTAGGCAAAGGCATTATGGTTTGTTAGAGAAAATTATCTGCGCCATCTACACAAATCATGACAAGCTCATCATAAGACATAACCATGTTGTTAGGATAGATATTCGCCAGTGTGTTCCACAGTCCAACTGCTTCTGGTAGTAATCTGTCAGAAAACAAGATCGCTATCAGCTTGCCACGCATTTTTACAATTCATGTTTTATGTCTTATGTGAACTGTTCTTTTATAATGTTATACCTCAAGTCTTTTCCTTTCATCCAGATCTTGTTGATGTCCCATACACCACAGCTGTTCTAGAGTGAGACCTCCTTCTGTCCGTAGAGTATGTTTATTCCATCCTCTGATGAAGGTGTCAAGATTGGCCAGGAGTCGAGAGACAAAGATGTAGTGCACACCAAAGAGGTGTACCACATCATCACATATAATGTAAACCCAGACAAGGCAGCCCTAATGTTATATCACTAAAGTACAAAAACTAACAAGGTACTTCTATAACATGAGACAATAATCATAATAATAATAATAATAATAAATACTGCCCGTACATTGTATCCAACGAAGTCCTCCCTCTCCCGTCCAAGTCTGTCTGATGCGATCTCCTTTGCTTTTTCTGGGTGAATGTAACTAGCGATCTAATTGGAGAACAAACAGCCAATCAGAGTGTACTTCCGCCAGTTCTTGGATTGGTTGGCTTTGTGGCACAGTGTAACGTGTGTGTCAAGCTGAGCGCGCAGAGAGGACACACCCGAGCGCGCAGAGGGCGAGAGGTTGAGTGAGAGAGGGAGGGGGGAAGTGAGCGCGTAAAACTAAAATGCAAAAGCATTTATGGTTTACAGAATTGATTTTTTTTTTTTTTGCTCAATATATTTTTCTGTGTCATAACCCGGCTCTTAAGCCATGACATATATGGAAACGGACGCAGTGTAGGGCGGAAAGTGATGATTTATTTTACCAAAGTGAAGACTTAAACAATAATTTGTAAATATGGAGTGTGTTAGTCAGTGATATCAGTCATGTAAGTGTGGATGTGTGAGTAATGAAGTGTAGGGTGTTGTGGGGTGAAAATAAACCAAAGTCAAACCGAAGCAAAAAGCCTGCAACAGCAGGCCTGTGGCAGGGTCAGAGGAAGAGAGCGAGCCGCACTGGAGAAGGGCCTTTTATGCTCTGTGGCAGCATTAGGCACAGGTGCTTCAATTGTCTGCCACACCCACTCTCTCCCAGGTAGCCCTGCAGGGAAAACATGAAATGGCTCCACCAGGATTAGTCCACCAGACCCCAGTTAGGCAGGGCCGTCACATCTGTGCTCAAAATGTGTCATTATGTGCTCAGAATCTATCATTGCTCGCTTTTGTTTGCTCAATGTATTTTTCTGTGCTCAAAATCTATCATTGCTCGATCAAAATCTTTCATTGCTCACTCAGGATACTGGTACAAAAATAAATCCATAGAGTTTGTGGTGTTTGTTGAACTTGAGTTTGTGGCATTTGCTTAACTTGAAGTTGTGGCATTTGTTGGACTTGAATTTGTGGCATTTTTTGAACTTGAAGTTGTGGTGTCGTCAAATTTGAGTTTGTGGCAATTGTTGAACTTAAGTTTGTGGCATTTTTTGAACTTGATTTTGTGGTGTTTGTTGAACTTGAGTTTGTGGTGTTTGCTGAACTTGAGTTTGTGGCATTCCTTGAACATGTGTTTGTGGTGTTTGTTGAACTTGAGTTAGTGGTGTTTTTTGAACCTGAGTCTATGGCCTTTGTTGACTTTGTGGCATTTGTTAATCTTGAGTTTGCTGTGTTTATTGAACTTGAGTTTGTGCTGTTTGTTGAACTTGAATGTGTGGCAATTTTTAAACTTAAGTTTATGTCCTTTGTTAAAGTTGATGTTGTGGCGTTTGTTGAACTTGGGTTTGTGGCGTTTGTTGAACTTGAACTTGTGGCATTTGTTGAACTTCAGTTTGTGGTGTTTCATTGAACTTGAAGTTGTGGCATTTGTTGAACTTGAGTCAGTGGCCTTTGTTGACTTTGTGGCATTTGTTCATCTTGAGTTTGAGGCGCTTGTTGATGCTGAGTTTGTGGTGTTTATTGAACTTGAGTTTGTATTGTTTGTTGATCTTTAGTTTGTGGCATTTGTTGAACTTGAGCTCTTGGCATTTGTTGAACTTGAACTTGTGGCATGTGTTGAACTAGAGTTTGTGGTGTTTGTTGAACCCGAGTTTGTGGCGTTTGTTCATCTTTAGTTTGTGGCATTTGTTGAACCTGAGTTTGTCGTGTTTGTTGAACTTGAGGTCATGGCCTTTCTTGAACTTGAGTTTGTGGCGTTTGTTGAATTTGAGTTTGTGGTATTTGTTGAACTGGAATATGTTCCTTTTTTTTGAATTTGAGTTTGTGGCATTTGTTTAACTTGAGTTTGCGGTATTTGTTGAACTTTAAATTTTTGGCATTTGTTAAACTTGACTTTGTTATGTTTGTTGAACTTGAGTTTTGGTGTTTTGTAAACTTGAGTTTTTGGCAATTGTTTAACTTGAGGTTTTGGTGTTTGTTGAACTTGAGTTTGTGGTGTTTTTGAACTTGAGTTTGTGGTGTTTGTTGAACTTGAGTTTGTGGCGTTATTGATCTTTAGTTTGTGGCATTTGTTGAACTTGAGTTCTTGGCATTTGTAGAACTTAAACTTGTGGCATGTGTTGAACTAGAGTTTGTGGCATTTGTTAAACTTGAGTTTGTGGTGTGTGTTGAATTGAATTCTTGGCGATTGTTGAACTTGATCTTGTGGGATTTGTTGAACTTGTGTGTGTGGCGTTTTTTGAACTTGAATTTGCTGTGTTTTTTGAACTTGAGTTTGTGACAATTGCTGAACTTGAGGTTTTGTTGTTTGTTGTACTTGAGTTTGTGGTGTTTGCTGAACTTGAGTTTTTGGCGTTTGTTGAACTTGAATTTGTGGCATTTGTGAATTTGAGTTTGGTCTGTTTTTTTAACTTGAGTTTGTGGTGTTAGTTAAACTTGAGTTTTTGCCATTTTTGAACCGTATTTTTTGGTGTTAATTCAACTTAAGTTTGAGGCGTTTGTTGAACTTGAAGGTGTGGCATTTGTTGAACTTGAAGGTGTGGCATTTGTTGAACTTAAGTTTGTGTTTTTTGTTGAACCTGAGTTTGTGGTGTTTGTTTAACTTAAGTCTGTGGTGTTTTCTGAACATGAGTTTGTGTTTTTAATTGAACCTGAGTTTGTGGCGTTCGTTGAACTTGAGTTTGTGGCAATTGTTGAACTTGAGTCTGTTGTGTTTGTTGAACTTGAATTTGTTTCTTTTTTGAATTTGAGTTTGTGACATTTGTTTAACTTGAGTTTGTGGTGTTTGTTTATCTTGAGTTTGTGGTGTTTGTTGAACTTGAGTACATGGCCTTTGTTGAACTTGAAGTTCTGGTTTTTGTTGAACTTGTGTTTGTGCTGTTTTTTGAACTTGAAGTTTGCCATGTTTCTTGACTTTGAACTTGTGGTGTCTTTTGACCTTGAGTTTGTGGCAATTGTTGAACTGGAGTTTATAGGGTTTGTTGAACTTGAGTTTGTGGCGTTTGTTGAACTTGAGTATGTGGTGTTTATTGAACTTGAGTTTGTGGCGTTTGTTGAACCTGAGTTTGTAGTCTTTGCTGAACTTGATTTTTTGGCAATTGATGGACTTCAGTTAGTGGGGTTTGTCGAACTTGAGGTTGTGGCAATTGTTGAACTTAAGTTGTAGCATTTCTCTGAACTTTATATTTTGGTATTTTTTGAACTTGACTTTATGTTTTTTGAACTTGAGTTGTGGTGTTTTTTAAACTTGAGTTAATGGCATTTTTTGAACTTGAGTATGTGGCATTTGTTGAACTTGAGTTCTTGGCAATTGTTGAACTTGAGATTGTGGCATTTGTTGAACTTGAGTTTTTTGTGTTTGTTGAACTTGAGTTTGTGGCATTTGTTGAACTTGAGTTTGTCGTGTTTGTTGATGTTAAGTTTGTGGTGTTTGTTGATCTTAAGTTTGTGGTGTTTGTTGAACTTAAGTTTCTGGTGTTTGTTGATCTTAAGTTTGTGGTGTTTGTTGAACTTAAGTTTCTGGTGTTTGTTGAACTTGAAGTTGTGGTGTTTGTTAGACTTGAGTTAATGGCATTTTTTGAACTTCAGTATGTGGCCTTTGTTGAACTTGAGTTTGTGGCATTTGTTGAACTTGAAGTTGTGGCATTTGTCGAACTTGAGATTTTAGGAATTGTTCAACTTGAGTTTTTGGTGTTTGCTGAACTTGAGTTTGTGGTGTTTTCTGAACTTGAGTCTGTTGTGTTTGCTGAACTTGAAGTTGTGGTGTTTGTTAGACTTGAGTTAATGGCATTTTTTGAACTTCAATACGTTGCCTTTGTTGAACTTGAGTTTGTGGCATTTGTTGAACTTAAGGTTGTGGCATTTGTTGAACTTGAGTTTGTGTGTTGAACTTGAGATTGTGGTGTTTGCTGAACTTGAGTGTGTGGCGTTTTTTGAACTTGAATTTGCTGTGTTTTTTGAACTTGAGTTTGTGGCAATTGTTGAACTTGAGGTTTTGTTGTTTGTTGAACTTAACACTAGAAGGACCACAGAGCAGCCATTTGGCTTTACCCCCTTCAAGGACCACGGGGCAGCCAATCGGCTGGAAGGCTTTTAGCTAATATCCTAAATCACCTGTGAACACTCATTTTGTTATGCAAACGAGGCGATCGTTGGTGCACCACAGGAGGGGACTGGACTATTGTAGTCCCTCTGTCTAGATGATTGTGGAATTTCCCGGCGAATCTTGTTGACTGTGCCTAGGATGGTGGTTTTCCGCCTGAGCAGTGGTTGCACAAGTGACAGCAATGTGAAGAAATTGTCCGTGGTTCCATTCCTGCGCTTGTCCAGGAATGGTTCCATCAGCCTCAAAACTACGTTCTCGGACAGTCTCTCCCCACTCGGACGACTGGGGTCCTTGCCAAGATATGGGAGGACATTGCAGATGTACTTGGATTTCAAGTCACAAGCCACCCAAAACTTGATCCCAAACTTGTCGGGTTTTGTTGCAACGTACTGCAGGAAACAGCAGCGGGTCTTTGACAGGAAAAGCTGTCCAGCAATGGTGATGTGTCGACCAGGGTTGTAGGATGTGATGCAGTTGGTGACAAATGACGACCACATGGCAGAAATTGCAGCAAACTTGTCAGTCTTTGTGCGCTCACTGCGGGTGTCCCTATCATCAAAGCGTAAGTGTCGCATGATGTCTTTGAAGCGATTTCGGGACATGGTTGCAATGATCTGGGGGTAACCCAGGTTTACTGACCAGCAGTCACTCATTGATGGAACCTTGGTCAGCCCCCGCGAGATGATGATAGCAATAAATGCCATTAGTTCAGGGAGGGCCATGAACCAATCAACATACTCTGTTTGCTTTGTATGTTGAACAGTACAGTCTTGAATAGAACCAAGCATGTCCAGTGTGATGAAACACAGGAAGCTCTGAAGACGAGTCAAGCTGGACCTCCTGGCCTTAGCCATTGGTTTTCCATCTGCTGAGGTGCAGGGACATCAGGAGAAGTAGAATCAAACAAAACAAACAGAGGCCCAAACTGTCTGTGCAGTGGCTATGGCTGAAGCAGTTTCTGTCTACAGTTGTTCTCAGGTTGGAAACTCCCCTCCCCCTCCCCACTGCCTCTCCCAACAACACAAGTTTTCTTGAAGTAACTCAGCATATCCCCTCCTGTGGTGCGCCAGCGATTGCCTCGTTTGCATAACAAACTGAGTGTTCACAGGTGATTTAGTACTGGCTAAAAGCCCTCCAAGCCGATCGGCTGCCCTTTGGTCTTTCTAGGTAGAACAGCAAAAGCTGGTCCTTCTAGTGTTAAGTATGTGGCATATTTTTAAATTGGTTTTGTGGTGTTTGTTGTACTTTAGTTTGTGGTGTCAGCTGAACTTAAGTTTTTGGCATTTGTTGAACTTGAATTTGTGGCATTTGTGAATTTGAGTTTGCTCTCTTTTTTGAACTTGAGCTTGTGGTGTTAGTTAAACTTGAGTTTTTGCCATTTTTGAACCTTATTTTTTGGTGTTAATTCAACTTGAGTTTGAGGCGTTTGTTGAACTTGAAGGTGTGGCATTTGTTGAACCTGAGTTTGTGGTGTTTGTTGAACTTGAGTCTGTGGTGTTTTCTGAACTTGAGTTTGTTTCTTTTTTTGAATTTGAGTTTGTTGCATTTGTTAAACTTGAGTTTGTGGTGTTTGTTGATCTTGAGTTTGTGGCATTTGTTGAATTTGAAGTAATGGATATTGTTGAACTTGAATTTTTTTAGTGAGTATGTGTCTTTTGCTGATCTTGACTTTATGGCCATTGTTGAAATTATGATTTCTGGCGTTTGTTGCACTTAAGTTTGTGGTGTTCGATGAACTTGAGTGTGTGGCATTTTTTGAACTTGAGTTTGTGGCAATTGCTGAACTCGAGTTTTTGGCATTTGTTGAACTTATGTTTTAGGTGTTTGTTTGACTTGAGTTTGTGGTGTTTGCTGAACTTGAGTTTGTGGTGTTTGCTGAACTTGAGTTTCTGGCATTTGTTAAACTTGAGGTTGTGGCATTTGTTGAACTTCAGTTTGTGGTGTTTGCTGAACTTGAGTTTTTTGCAACTGTTGAACCTGAACTTATGGCATTTGTGAATTTGAGTTTGCTCTGTTTTTTGAACTTGAGGTTGTGGTGTTTGTGAAACTTGAATTTTTTGCCATTTTTGAACTTTAGTTTGTGGCGTTTGTTGAACTTGAGTTTGTTGTGTTTGTTAACTTCTTCTACCCTAAGCACATTTTAAGGGGAAAAAAACGCCTAAAAGACATACCCAAAGTAAATGAGGAATTACTACACTTTACTAAAGGTTATATGCATGTTCTTGGTGTCCTTGGACATCTAGAGACTTCAGAGAATGTGTTCCAAGTGTCAGAAGTGTTTTATCTGTCATTATGCCTGAGTAAATTGGAATGAATCAGAGGAAAAGTTATGTTTTTTTACCCTCGCCAAAATGTTTTCTTTTTTCAACAGGGGAAAACACAATGCTGGCAATGAGTCCAGGCCCCCAGATGACATTGATTAGCTTCATCCACTCCTTGACCACAAATGTACCAAATTTGATAGAATTTGGGCAAACAATAAAGCCTACATGAAGGTTTTTGTAAGGGTACACCCAGGCGAGGACTCAGTTTGGCACAATTTGGCACACTTTGTGCCAAAATGTGCCAAATGGATTATTTTCTACCTCTGATGAGAACTGGCTCCAAATTACAATTTATTTCCATAAGACTAGTCTCCTACTACCTATTGGAGCTTTTAGATATGAAATTTACCTTTTGCCTCATCAATTTCTACCATTCTGCACAATATATTTGTTTATATGTAATACAGAATTGTGAAAAATAACAGGAACTTCTACATTTCTTTCTTCACAGGGAGTATTTTTATTTGAAAAAAGTGCAAAAAGAGAAACAAACAAACATTCTGAGCAAACAATGTAAAATAAAAAGTAAAAGTGCAACAAATATTGTAAATTAAAAACAATATATAACAATATAAAATACAGCAAACACAGGTAGAGTAAATTAAATGTGATGAATACATATAAATGCATAATTGAAGCGGTAAAGAGTGTATTATTTCTTTTAGAGACCAGAATCAAACAAATGATCAGTACACAAACCTTGATACAAGCAATGTCACCTTTCTTGCAGGTAAGGGTGGGTGTGGGGCGTCTGGTGCAGGGAGTACTGAAGGTGTGAAAACCCCTGATGGGGGGTGGGGGTGGATGTGCCTCACTCCCCTCTTCTTGGTGGCTGTGAAAATGGTGATCAATTACTATGCAGAACAAAAATAAATAACATTTGTACATTTCACTGACGGACACAAAAGTTGTGGATATATGTAAACTTATTCACTAAATTGAGTAGCCATGACCTCTACTATATTTTGTTTGCATTTATATTTACTTCATTTATTTTTCTCATAAAGAATATATTCAAAGACAGATAAAATGCAGTATCTGCAAGCAAAGTAAGCCCAAAATAAACAGATATAGTGAAACTGCAGTAATATTCGATGCTATTGGATTGCCATACTTACTACAGTGTTTACAGTTTTATGACAAAGGTGTTCCATGCATATCAATTTACACAACACGGCTTTATAGATAAATGCAAATACTTACTAGTAAACTGGGTCCACTTCTGATGTAAACAATGCCTCCTCCTCGGAGCAGACGCCATTACTGAGTCAGAGTCCTCAAATTCACCGTCTGAGCCCCGCTGAATTTCTAATAAAATGTCCGCCATATCCCTCTAAGAGTTGAATGTTTCTTTTCCTGGTTGAAAAGTACTCAAGAGAAGTTTTATAAGTGGTGTAGAAAGTTTACAGGGGAGTCCCGACTGATCAGTGTGCGATGCAGCATCCTGCCTTCGTCTGTGGGGCGCTGCACCTAAAAGCGCACAGATTACGAACACTTTACGCCCGGCTTTTTTCAAAGCTGGGAAATGTAGTCTTTGGAAAGATTGATGCCAATCGATTCAGTAGGTTCTCCCCTTTCAAATGACTACAGACATGGCCGGACTGAGCCTGTCTCCGCTACACTGTAAAGCTTTGATTCGGTCGATGTCGCAAAATTTAAATGTCCAGACAGAGACACCAAGACAGATTAAAATCGACATAAAAAGGTAACGTTTACACTAAAACAGACATCCGACCCAGTTCTGTGAACATTAGAGTCTAAACTTTGATTGAGAATTGAAAGTAAACACCGCGGTCAAGTTTCAATACATTTTTCACAGCGTTTAAAAACATGCAGCAAAATCTCGGCCCGGGAGAGGGACCGTCGGGCTAAGGGGGTTAAAATTGAGTTTGTGGTGTTTGCTGAACTTTAGTTCGCAGTGTTTGCTCAACTTGGTTTTTTTGCAATTGTTGATATCTAGTTTGTGGTGTTCGTTGAACTTGAGTTTGTGTTGTTGATTGAACTTTAGTTTCTGGTTTTTGTTGAACTTGAGTGTGTGGAGTTTGTTGAACTTGAGTTAGGGGCATTTGTTGACTTGAAATTTTCGCAAATGTTGAACTTTTATTTTTGTTTATTGAACTTGAAGTTGTGGCATTTGTTCAACTTAAGTTTGAGTTGTTTATTGAACTTGAGTTAGGGGCGTTTGTTGAACTTGAGCTTGTGACATTTGTTTGACTTGACTTTGTGGCGCTTGTTGAACTTTATTTATTTTGTTACTTGAATTTTTGGTTTTTATTGAACTTTAGTTTAAGGCGTTTGATGAACTTCTTGGCAATTGTTGAACTTGAGTTTGTGTTGTTAATTGCTCTTGAGTTAGTGGCATGTGGGAATATGAGTTTATAATGTTTGTTGAACTTGAGTTTTTGTTGTTTATTGAACTTGAGTTTGTGGTGATTGTTGAACTTAAGTTTGTGTTTTTTGTTAATCTTAAGTTTGTTGTGTTGAACTTGAGTTGGTGGCAATTGTTGAACTTGAGTTGGGGGTGTTTGTTGAACCTGAGTTTATGGTGTTTGTTGAACTTGAGTCTGTGGTGATTTCTGAACTTGAGTTTGTGTTGTTAATCGAACCTGAGTTTGTGGGGTTTGTTGAACTTGAGTTTGTGGCAATTGTTGAACTTGAGATTGTGGTGTTTGTTGAACTTGAAGTTGTTTCTTTGTTTAAATTGGAGTTTGTGGCATTTGTTAAACTTGAGTTTGTTGATCTTGAGTCTGTGGCATTTGTTGAATTTAATTTTTTGTGAGTATGTGTCTTTTGTTGAGCATGACTTTATGGCAATTGTTGAAATTAAGTTTGTGGTGTTTGTTAAACTTTAGTTTGTGGTGTTTGATGAACTTGAATGTGTGGCATTTTTCTAACTTCGTGGCAATTGCAAAACTTGAGTTTTTGGCATTTGTTGAACCTATGTTTTAGGTGTTTGCTGAACTTGAGTTTGTGGCATTTGCTAAACTTGAAGTTGTGGCATTTGTTGAACTTCAGTTTGTGGTCTTTGTTGAACATGATTTATTGGTGTTTGTTGAGCTTGACTTTATGGCAATTGTTGAATTTTAGTTTATGGCATTTGTTGAACTTGAGTTGAAGGTGTTTGTTGAACTTAAGTTTGTGGTGTTTGCTGAACATGAGTTTTTGGCAATTGTTAAACTTGAGTTTTTGCGTTTGTTAAACTTAAAATTGTGGCATTTGTTGAACTTGAATTTGTGGTGTTTGTTTATTTTCTGTTTTTTTTTGTTGAATTGAGTTTGTGGTGTTTTTTGAACTTGAGTTTGTGGCAATTATTGAACTCGAGTTTGTCACGTTTTTGAACTTGAAACTTTGGCATTTGTTGAACTTAATCTTTGGGTGTTTGTTGAACTATTAATTTTGGCATTTGTTAAACTTAATTTTTGGCATTTGTTGAACTTGAGTTTGTGGCATTTGTTGAAATTTAATTTTTGGCATTTGTGGAAACTTATTTTTGGTGTTTGTTGAACTTGAAGTTGTGGCATTTGTTAAACTTGAGTTTGTGTTGTTTGTTGAACTTGAGTTTTTGGCAACTGTTGAACTTGAAGTTGTGGCATTTGTTATACTTGAGTTTGTGGCATTTGTTGAATTTGAGTGTGTGGTGTTTGCTGAACTTGAGTTTGTGGCATTTGTTGAACTTCAGTTTAAGGTGTTTGTTGAACTTAAGTTTGTGGTGTTTGCTGAACTTGAGTTTTTGGCAATTGTTGAACTTGAGTTTTTGCGTTTGTTAAACTTGAATTTGTGGTGTTTGTTTAAGTTCTGTTTTTTTGTTGAAGTGAGTTTGTGGTGTTTTTTGAACTTGAGTTTGTGGCAATTATTGAACTCGAGTTTGTCACGTTTTTTGAACTTGAAATTTTGGCATTTGTTGAACTTAATCTTTAGGTGTTTGTTGAACTTGAGTTTGTGGTGTTTGTTGATGTCCAATTTGTGGCAATTGTTGAACTTGATTTTGTGGTGTGTGTTGAACTTGAGTTTGTTTTTGTTTTTTGTTTAACTTGAGTTTGTGGCAATTGCTGAACTTGAGTTTGTGGCATTTGTTGAACTTGAGGTTTTGGTGTTTGTTGAACTTGAGTTTGTGTGTTGAACTTGAGATTGTGGTGTTTGCTGAACTTGAGTCTTTGGCAACTGTTGAACTTGAAGTTGTGGCATTTGTTATACTTGAGTTTGTGGCATTTGTTGAATTTGAGTTTGTGGTGTTTGCTGAACTTGAGTTCGTGGCATTTGTTGAACTTCAGTTTAAGGTGTTTGTTGAACTTAAGTTTGTGGTGTTTGCTGAACTTGAGTTTTTGGCAATTGTTGAACTTGATTTTGTGGTGTTTGTTGAACTTGAGTTTGTTTTTGTTTTTTTGTTTAACTTGAGTTTGTGGCAATTGCTGAACTTGAGTTTGTGGCATTTGTTGAACTTGAGGTTTTGGTGTTTGTTTTACTTTTAATTTTGGCATTTGTTAAATTTTATTTTTTGGCATTTGTTGAACTTGAGTTTTTGGCGTTTGTTGAACTTGAATTTTTGGCATTTGTGGAAACTTATTTTTTGTGTTTGTTGAACTTGAAGTTGTGGCATTTGTTAAACTTGAGTTTGTGTTGTTTGTTGAACTTGAGTTTTTGGCAACTGTTGAACTTGAAGTTGTGGCATTTGTTATACTTGAGTTTGTGGCATTTGTTGAATTTGAGTGTGTGGTGTTTGCTGAACTTGAGTTTGTGGCATTTGTTGAACTTCAGTTTAGGGTGTTTGTTGAACTTAAGTTTGTGGTGTTTGCTGAACTTGAGTTTTTGGCAATTGTTGAACTTGAGTTTTTGCGTTTGTTAAACTTAAAGTTGTGGCATTTGTTAAACTTGAATTTGTGGTGTTTGTTTAAGTTCTGTTTTTTTGTTGAAGTGAGTTTGTGGTGTTTTTTGAACTTGAGTTTGTGGCATTTGTTGAACTTCAGTTTAGGGTGTTTGTTGAACTTAAGTTTGTGGTGTTTGCTGAACTTGAGTTTTGGGCAATTGTTGAACTTGAGTTTTTGCGTTTGTTAAACTTAAAGTTGTGGCATTTGTTAAACTTGAGGTTTTGGTGTTTGTTTAAGTTCTGTTTTTTTGTTGAAGTGAGTTTGTGGTGTTTTTTGAACTTGAGTTTGTGGCAATTATTGAACTTGAGTTTGTCACGTTTTTTGAACTTGAAATTTTGGCATTTGTTGAACTTAATCTTTAGGTGTTTGTTGAACTTGAGTTTGTGGTGTTTGTTGATGTCCAAGTTGTGGCAATTGTTGAACTTGATTTTGTGGTGTTTGTTGAACTTGAGTTTGTTTTTGTTTTTTTGTTTAACTTGAGTTTGTGGCAATTGCTGAACTTGAGTTTGTGGCATTTGTTGAACTTGAGGTTTTGGTGTTTGTTGAACTTGAGTTTGTGTGTTGAACTTGAGATTGTGGTGTTTGCTGAACTTGAGTCTTTGGCAACTGTTGAACTTGAAGTTGTGGCATTTGTTATACTTGAGTTTGTGGCATTTGTTGAACTTCAGTTTAAGGTGTTTGTTGAACTTAAGTTTGTGGTGTTTGCTGAACTTGAGTTTTTGGCAATTGTTAAACTTGAGTTTTTGCATTTGTTAAACTTAAAGTTGTGGTGTTTGTTTAACTTCTGTTTTTTTGTTGAAGTGAGTTTGTGGTGTTTTTTGAACTTGAGTTTGTGGCAATTATTGAACTCGAGTTTGTCACGTTTTTTGAACTTGAAATTTTGGCATTTGTTGAACTTAATCTTTGGGTGTTTGTTGAACTTGAGTTTGTGGTGTTTGTTGATGTCCAAGTTGTGGCAATTGTTGAACTTGATTTTGTGGTGTTTGTTGAACTTGAGTTTGTTTTTGTTTTTTTGTTTAACTTGAGTTTGTGGCAATTGCTGAACTTGAGTTTGTGGCATTTGTTGAACTTGAGGTTTTGGTGTTTGTTGAACTTTTAATTTTGGCATTTGTTAAACTTTATTTTTTGGCATTTGTTGAACTTGAGTTTTTGGCGTTTGTTGAACTTGAATTTTTGGCATTTGTGGAAACTTATTTTTGGTGTTTGTTGAACTTGAGTTTGTGGCATTTGTTGAACTTGAGGTTTTGGTGTTTGTTGAACTTTTAATTTTGGCATTTGTTAAACTTTATTTTTTGGCATTTGTTGAATTTGAGTTTGTGTTGTTTGTTGAACATGAGTTTTTGGCAATTGTTAAACTTGAGTTTTTGCGTTTGTTAAACTTAAAATTGTGGCATTTGTTAAACTTGAATTTGTGGTGTTTGTTTAACTTCTGTTTTTTTTTTGTTGAATTGAGTTTGTGGTGTTTTTTGAACTTGAGTTTGTGGCAATTATTGAACTCGAGTTTGTCACGTTTTTTGAACTTGAAACTTTGGCATTTGTTGAACTTAATCTTTGGGTGTTTGTTGAACTTTTAATTTTGGCATTTGTTAAACTTAATTTTTGGCATTTGTTGAACTTGAGTTTGTGGCATTTGTTGAAATTTAATTTTTGGCATTTGTGGAAACTTATTTTTGGTGTTTGTTTAACTTGAAGTTGTGGCATTTATTAAACTTGAGTTTGTGTTGTTTGTTGAACTTGCGTTTTTGGCAACTGTTGAACTTGAAGTTGTGGCATTTGTTATATTTGAGTTTGTGGCATTTGTTGAACTTCAGTTTAAGGTGTTTGTTGAACTTAAGTTTGTGGTGTTTGCTGAACTTGAGTTTTTGGCAATTGTTGAACTTGAGTTTTTGCGTTTGTTAAACTTGAATTTGTGGTGTTTGTTTAAGTTCTGTTTTTTGTTGAACTTGAGTTTGTGGTGTTTGTTGAACTTGAGTTTGTCTTTGTTTTTTGTTTAACTTGAGTTTGTGGCAATTGCTGAACTTGAGTTTGTGGCATTTGTTGAACTTGAGGTTTTGGTGTTTGTTGAACTTGAGTTTGTGTGTTGAACTTGAGATTGTGGTGTTTGCTGAACTTGAGTCTTTGGCAACTGTTGAACTTGAAGTTGTGGCATTTGTTATACTTGAGTTTGTGGCATTTGTTGAATTTGAGTGTGTGGTGTTTGCTGAACTTGAGTTCGTGGCATTTGTTGAACTTCAGTTTAAGGTGTTTGTTGAACTTAAGTTTGTGGTGTTTGCTGAACTTGAGTTTTTGGCAATTGTTAAACTTGATTTTGTGGTGTTTGTTGAACTTGAGTTTGTTTTTGTTTTTTTGTTTAACTTGAGTTTGTGGCAATTGCTGAACTTGAGTTTGTGGCATTTGTTGAACTTGAGGTTTTGGTGTTTGTTTTACTTTTAATTTTGGCATTTGTTAAATTTTATTTTTTGGCATTTGTTGAACTTGAGTTTTTGGCGTTTGTTGAACTTGAATTTTTGGCATTTGTGGAAACTTATTTTTGGTGTTTGTTGAACTTGAAGTTGTGGCATTTGTTAAACTTGAGTTTGTGTTGTTTGTTGAACTTGAGTTTTTGGCAACTGTTGAACTTGAAGTTGTGGCATTTGTTATACTTGAGTTTGTGGCATTTGTTGAATTTGAGTGTGTGGTGTTTGCTGAACTTGAGTTTGTGGCATTTGTTGAACTTCGGTTTAGGGTGTTTGTTGAACTTAAGTTTGTGGTGTTTGCTGAACTTGAGTTTTTGGCAATTGTTGAACTTGAGTTTTTGCGTTTGTTAAACTTAAAGTTGTGGCATTTGTTAAACTTGAATTTGTGGTGTTTGTTTAAGTTCTGTTTTTTTGTTGAAGTGAGTTTGTGGTGTTTTTTGAACTTGAGTTTGTGGCATTTGTTGAACTTCAGTTTAGGGTGTTTGTTGAACTTAAGTTTGTGGTGTTTGCTGAACTTGAGTTTTTGGCAATTGTTGAACTTGAGTTTTTGCGTTTGTTAAACTTAAAGTTGTGGCATTTGTTAAACTTGAATTTGTGGTGTTTGTTTAAGTTCTGTTTTTTGTTGAAGTGAGTTTGTGGTGTTTTTTGAACTTGAGTTTGTGGCAATTATTGAACTTGAGTTTGTCACGTTTTTTGAACTTGAAATTTTGGCATTTGTTGAACTTAATCTTTAGGTGTTTGTTGAACTTGAGTTTGTGGTGTTTGTTGATGTCCAAGTTGTGGCAATTGTTGAACTTGATTTTGTGGTGTTTGTTGAACTTGAGTTTGTTTTTGTTTTTTTGTTTAACTTGAGTTTGTGGCAATTGCTGAACTTGAGTTTGTGGCATTTGTTGAACTTAAGGTTTTGGTGTTTGTTGAACTTGAGTTTGTGTGTTGAACTTGAGATTGTGGTGTTTGCTGAACTTGAGTCTTTGGCAACTGTTGAACTTCAAGTTGTGGCATTTGTTATACTTGAGTTTGTGGCATTTGTTGAACTTCAGTTTAAGGTGTTTGTTGAACTTAAGTTTGTGGTGTTTGCTGAACTTGAGTTTTTGGCAATTGTTAAACTTGAGTTTTTGCATTTGTTTAACTTAAAGTTGTGGTGTTTGTTTAACCTCTGTTTTTTTGTTGAAGTGAGTTTGTGGTGTTTTTTGAACTTGAGTTTGTGGCAATTATTGAACTCGAGTTTGTCACGTTTTTTGAACTTGAAATTTTGGCATTTGTTGAACTTAATCTTTGGGTGTTTGTTGAACTTGAGTTTGTGGTGTTTGTTGATGTCCAAGTTGTGGCAATTGTTGAACTTGATTTTGTGGTGTTTGTTGAACTTGAGTTTGTTTTTGTTTTTTTGTTTAACTTGAGTTTGTGGCAATTGCTGAACTTGAGTTTGTGGCATTTGTTGAACTTGAGGTTTTGGTGTTTGTTGAACTTTTAATTTTGGCATTTGTTAAACTTTATTTTTTGGCATTTGTTGAACTTGAGTTTTTGGCGTTTGTTGAACTTGAATTTTTGGCATTTGTGGAAACTTATTTTTGGTGTTTGTTGAACTTGAGTTTGTGGCATTTGTTGAACTTGAGGTTTTGGTGTATGTTGAACTTTTAATTTTGGCATTTGTTAAACTTTATTTTTTGGCATTTGTTGAATTTGAGTTTGTGTTGTTTGTTGAACATGAGTTTTTGGCAATTGTTAAACTTGAGTTTTTGCGTTTGTTAAACTTAAAATTGTGGCATTTGTTAAACTTGAATTTGTGGTGTTTGTTTAACTTCTGTTTTTCTTTGTTGAATTGAGTTTGTGGTGTTTTTTGAACTTGAGTTTGTGGCAATTATTGAACTCGAGTTTGTCACGTTTTTTGAACTTGAAATTTTGGCATTTGTTGAACTTAATCTTTGGGTGTTTGTTGAACTTGAGTTTGTGGTGTTTGTTGATGTCCAAGTTGTGGCAATTGTTGAACTTGATTTTGTGGTGTTTGTTGAACTTGAGGTTTTGGTGTATGTTGAACTTTTAATTTTGGCATTTGTTAAACTTTATTTTTTGGCATTTGTTGAATTTGAGTTTGTGTTGTTTGTTGAACATGAGTTTTTGGCAATTGTTAAACTTGAGTTTTTGCGTTTGTTAAACTTAAAATTGTGGCATTTGTTAAACTTGAATTTGTGGTGTTTGTTTAACTTCTGTTTTTTTTTGTTGAATTGAGTTTGTGGTGTTTTTTGAACTTGAGTTTGTGGCAATTATTGAACTTGAGGTTTTGGTGTTTGTTGAACTTTTAATTTTGGCATTTGTTAAACTTTATTTTTTGGCATTTGTTGAACTTGAGTTTTTGGCGTTTGTTGAACTTGAATTTTTGGCATTTGTGGAAACTTATTTTTGGTGTTTGTTGAACTTGAGTTTGTGGAATTTGTTGAACTTGAGGTTTTGCGTTTGTTAAACTTAAAATTGTGGCATTTGTTAAACTTGAATTTGTGGTGTTTGTTTAACTTCTGTTTTTTTTTGTTTAACTTGAGTTTGTGGCAATTGCTGAACTTGAGTTTGTGGCATTTGTTGAACTTGAGGTTTTGGTGTTTGTTGAACTTTTAATTTTGGCATTTGTTAAACTTTATTTTTTGGCATTTGTTGAACTTGAGTTTTTGGCGTTTGTTGAACTTGAATTTTTGGCATTTGTGGAAACTTATTTTTGGTGTTTGTTGAACTTGAGTTTGTGGAATTTGTTGAACTTGAGGTTTTGGTGTATGTTGAACTTTTAATTTTGGCATTTGTTAAACTTTATTTTTTGGCATTTGTTGAATTTGAGTTTGTGTTGTTTGTTGAACATGAGTTTTTGGCAATTGTTAAACTTGAGTTTTTGCGTTTGTTAAACTTAAAATTGTGGCATTTGTTAAACTTGAATTTGTGGTGTTTGTTTAACTTCTGTTTTTTTTTGTTGAATTGAGTTTGTGGTGTTTTTTGAACTTGAGTTTGTGGCAATTATTGAACTCGAGTTTGTCACGTCTTTTGAACTTGAAATTTTGGCATTTGTTGAACTTAATCTTTGGGTGTTTGTTGAACTTTTAATTTTGGCATTTGTTAAACTTAATTTTTGGCATTTGTTGAACTTGAGTTTGTGGCATTTGTTGAACTTGAGTTTGTGGCATTTGTTGAACTTGAGGTTTTGGTGTTTGTTGAACTTTTAATTTTGGCATTTGTTAAACTTTATTTTTTGGCATTTGTTGAACTTGAGTTTGTGGCGTTTGTTGAACTTGAATTTTTGGCATTTGTGGAAACTTATTTTTGGTGTTTGTTGAACTTGAAGTTGTGGCATTTGTTAAACTTGAGTTTGTGTTGTTTGTTGAACTTGAGTTTTTGGCAACTGTTATACTTGAGTTTGTGGCATTTGTTGAATTTGAGTGTGTGGAGTTTGCTGAACTTGAGTTTGTGGCATTTGTTGAACTTCAGTTTAAGGTGTTTGTTGAACTTAAGTTTGTGGTGTTTGCTGAACTTGAGTTTTTGGCAATTGTTAAACTTGAATTTGTGGTGTTTGTTTAACTTCTGTTTTTTTTTGTTGAATTGAGTTTGTGGTGTTTTTTGAACTTGAGTTTGTGGCAATTATTGAACTCGAGTTTGTCACATTTTTTGAACTTGAAATTTTGGCATTTGTTGAACTTAATCTTTGGGTGTTTGTTGAACTTGAGTTTGTGGTGTTTGTTGATGTCCAAGTTGTGGCAATTGTTGAACTTGATTTTGTGGTGTTTGTTGAACTTGAGTTTGTTTTTGTTTTTTTGTTTAACTTGAGTTTGTGGCACTTGCTGAACTTGAGTTTGTGGCATTTGTTGAACTTGAGGTTTTGGTGTTTGTTGAACCTTTAATTTTGGCATTTGTGGAAACTTATTTTTGGTGTTTGTTGAACTTGAGTTTGTGGCGTTTGTTGAACTTGAATCTTTGGCATTTGTGGAAACTTATTTTTGGTGTTTGTTGAACTTGAAGTTGTAGCATTTGTTAAACTTGAGTTTGTGTTGTTTGTTGAACTTGCGTTTTTGGCAACTGTTGAACTTGAAGTTGTGGCATTTGTTATACTTGAGTTTGTGGCATTTGTTGAATTTGAGTGTGTGGTGTTTGCTGAACTTGAGTTTGTGGCATTTGTTGAACTTCAGTTTAAGGTGTTTGTTGAACTTAAGTTTGTGGTGTTTGCTGAACTTGAGTTTTTGGCAATTGTTAAACTTGAGTTTTTGCGTTTGTTAAACTTAAAGTTGTGGTGTTTGTTTAACTTCTGTTTTTTGTTGAATTGAGTTTGTGGTGTTTTTTGAACTTGAGTTTGTGGCAATTATTGAACTCGAGTTTGTCACGTTTTTTGAACTTGAAATTTTGGCATTTGTTGAACTTAATCTTTGGGTGTTTGTTGAACTTGAGTTTGTGGTGTTTGTTGATGTCCAAGTTGTGGCAATTGTTGAACTTGATTTTGTGGTGTTTGTTGAACTTGAGTTTGTTTTTGTTTTTTGTTTAACTTGAGTTTGTGGCAATTGCTGAACTTGAGTTTGTGGCATTTGTTGAACTTGAGGTTTTGGTGTTTGTTGAACTTTTAATTTTGGCATTTGTTAAACTTTATTTTTTGGCATTTGTTGAACTTGAGTTTGTGGCGTTTGTTGAACTTGAATTTTTGGCATTTGTGGAAACTTATTTTTGGTGTTTGTTGAACTTGAGTTTTTGGCAACTGTTAAACTTGAGTTTTTGGCATTTGTTGAATTTGAGTGTGTGGTGTTTGCTGAACTTGAGTTTGTGGCATTTGTTGAACTTCAGTTTAAGGTGTTTGTTGAACTTAAGTTTGTGGTGTTTGCTGAACTTGAGTTTTTGGCAATTGTTAAACTTGAGTTTTTGCATTTGTTAAACTTAAAGTTGTGGCATTTGTTAAACTTGAATTTGTGGTGTTTGTTTAACTTATGTTTTTTTTGTTGAATTGAGTTTGTGGTGTTTGTTGAACTTGAGTTTGTGGCAATTATTGAACTCGAGTTTGTCACGTTTTTTGAACTTGAAATTTTGGCATTTGTTGAACTTAATCTTTGGGTGTTTGTTGAACTTGAGTTTGTGGTGTTTGTTGATGTCCAAGTTGTGGCAATTGTTGAACTTGATTTTGTGGTGTTTGTTGAACTTGAGTTTGTTTTTGTTTTTTTGTTTAACTTGAGTTTGTGGCAATTGCTGAACTTGAGTTTGTGGCATTTGTTGAACTTGAGGTTTTGGTGTTTGTTTTACTTTTAATTTTGGCATTTGTTAAATTTTATTTTTTGGCATTTGTTGAACTTGAGTTTTTGGCGTTTGTTGAACTTGAATTTTTGGCATTTGTGGAAACTTATTTTTGGTGTTTGTTGAACTTGAAGTTGTGGCATTTGTTAAACTTGAGTTTGTGTTGTTTGTTGAACTTGAGTTTTTGGCAACTGTTGAACTTGAAGTTGTGGCATTTGTTATACTTGAGTTTGTGGCATTTGTTGAATTTGAGTGTGTGGTGTTTGCTGAACTTGAGTTTGTGGCATTTGTTGAACTTCAGTTTAAGGTGTTTGTTGAACTTAAGTTTGTGGTGTTTGCTGAACTTGAGTTTTTGGCAATTGTTAAACTTGAGTTTTTGCATTTGTTAAACTTAAAGTTGTGGCATTTGTTAAACTTGAATTTGTGGTGTTTGTTTAACTTCTGTTTTTTTGTTGAATTGAGTTTGTGGTGTTTTTTGAACTTGAGTTTGTGGCAATTATTGAACTCGAGTTTGTCACGTTTTTTGAACTTGAAATTTTGGCATTTGTTGAACTTAATCTTTGGGTGTTTGTTGAACTTGAGTTTGTGGTGTTTGTTGATGTCCAAGTTGTGGCAATTGTTGAACTTGATTTTGTGGTGTTTGTTGAAATTGAGTTTGTTTTTGTTTTTTTGTTTAACTTGAGTTTGTGGCACTTGCTGAACTTGAGTTTGTGGCATTTGTTGAACTTGAGGTTTTGGTGTTTGTTGAACTTTTAATTTTGGCATTTGTGGAAACTTATTTTTGGTGTTTGTTGAACTTGAGTTTGTGGCGTTTGTTGAACTTGAGTTTTTGGCAACTGTTGAACTTGAAGTTGTGGCATTTGTTATACTTGAGTTTGTGGCATTTGTTGAATTTGAGTGTGTGGTGTTTGCTGAACTTGAGTTTGTGGCATTTGTTGAACTTCAGTTAAAGGTGTTTGTTGAACTTAAGTTTGTGGTGTTTGCTGAACTTGAGTTTTTGGCAATTGTTAAACTTGAGTTTTTGCGTTTGTTAAACTTAAAGTTGTGGTGTTTGTTTAACTTCTGTTTTTTGTTGAATTGAGTTTGTGGTGTTTTTTGAACTTGAGTTTGTGGCAATTTTTGAACTCGAGTTTGTCACGTTTTTTTGAACTTGAAATTTTGGCATTTGTTGAACTTAATCTTTGGGTGTTTGTTGAACTTGAGTTTGTGGTGTTTGTTGATGTCCAAGTTGTGGCAATTGTTGAATTTGATTTTGTGGTGTTTGTTGAACTTGAGTTTGTTTTTGTTTTTTTGTTTAACTTGAGTTTGTGGCAATTGCTGAACTTGAGTTTGTGGCATTTGTTGAACTTGAGGTTTTGGTGTTTGTTGAACTTTTAATTTTGGCATTTGTTAAACTTTATTTTTTGGCATTTGTTGAACTTGAGTTTGTGGCGTTTGTTGAACTTGAATTTTTGGCATTTGTGGAAACTTATTTTTAGTGTTTGTTGAACTTGAAGTTGTGGCATTTGTTAAACTTGAGTTTGTGTTGTTTGTTGAACTTGAGTTTTTGGCAACTGTTGAACTTGAAGTTGTGGCATTTGTTGAATTTGAGTGTGTGGTGTTTTCAGAACTTGAGTTTGTGGCATTTGTTGAACTTGAGATTGTGATTTTTGTTTAACTTGAGTTTGTTTGTTCTTTTTAACTTGAGTTTGTGGCAATTCTTGAACCTCCATTTGTGGCGCTTTTTGAACTTGAGTTCTTGGTGTTTGTTTAACTTGATTTTGTGTTTTTTGTTGAACTTGAGTTTGTGGCAGTTGTTAAATGGAAATACTGATTAAGCATTTCCACTTTTTGTTATTCTCCTTTTTCTGTATCATTAAGTTATTCTCCCATTTCTTTATTATGAATATTATTATTCTTCCGTACCTTTTTTGCAACTTTTCAACTCCTTCACACTTTGTGCTATTTCAACCATTCAACTTTTAAAATATTCCGCTCCTTCAGAACAAGTGCAGATTTTTTTTTCACTTTCACTTTTACTCCTTATACTTTTTGATATTTTTTATTTTTTGTGTAAAATTTTTCCCATTTAAAAAAATGGGGAACTATTCAAATTCTACCTTTTACACCTCCACCTTCTCAGCCTTATAACTTCAGCATACTTTCACCTACAGACCTCATTTTTGCTTTAAAATGTTCACAATCTTCTCTAAATATGTTGTATTGACTTTGTGCTATCTCCTACAGTTTTCCTCAATTTAGCTTTATGCACCTAATGGGTTTCAGCAAATTTTCAGGCTTTATAATGGGTGTGTATTGAAAAAGCTACAGTGGGTGATGTCATAGCTAGAGTGGAGAGGACTTTTTCGATCGACAAAACCTAGCTCGAATAAATCACTCCCACAAATTTCACTCCACAGCCATAAAAAATACATCAAAATGAAGGAAAATAAGTCCTGCTTCTCACCAAAGAGGTTTCAAATCATTAAACGTACCCAAGCAGGTGACCAACTGTCCAACAATGGCAAAGAGCCCTTGCATTGGCCCTAATGTAATTTTTCTCCCAGAAAATCCTGATCATCACTTATCAATCAATCAATCAATCAATCAACTTTATTTCTATAGCACATTTAAAAGAACCACAAGGGTAGCCAAAGTGCTGTACAATGACACATAAAACAAATAAAACAATCAAAGAACAAGAACATCACTTAGAGTCAGACCTGTTAAACTCGCTGTTGTGGCCACATTTTTTAGAGTAAAGACATGAAAAACACATCATTGTATTCTTTAAGGTTTCCTACAATGTTCTTATTTTCATTCTGGGATTTAAGGAAATCTCGCTATGTGAAGAAGTTCAGAGGCCCTAAATTCACTGCAGTTAGGCAGCTTCTCATTCAAACAGTAGCTCAGTTAATGCCTTTGATCTCACAGCTGTAAAGTATGCAATCATTAACGACACACACACACAGTCTGACAATGTGTGTGCATTAGTCTCTCTCTCTGCCAATGACACCTGCATGTACACACAGTTAATATGTACGTGCGTGAGTGAGCTTCAAGTCTCCTTTCTTCTTCTGCACTGATGCATCTACCGTCCCACACAGCTGACTGGAAAGCTGCTTCTAATAGCCATATGAGACACATGAAGCCAGGCTCAACACACAAAGCACTGGGGGTGACATTTAAAACCCTTTATTAGAGCGCTTGACAAACTTCAGCCCCGATCTCCTCCCATGAACTTTGACCTACAGAAACCATTCAGGGCTTCAAAATTTCAGCTCATTGAGGACATTATGGGGTGTATTCAGGAATTTTATTCATTTAAATTTCTCCCATTTGAAAGTCACTCAGTGATGATTTATTATTTAACTTTTCAAACTAATTTAAACTCATTCAAACTGATTCAAACCTTTCTGATACTGAAAAACTTTCTAATACTTGAGGATTTTTAATTATTAGAATTTTCCCTGTTTAAATTAGTTTTAATATTCATGCATTATTCCATCCTTCAAACAAAATCTCACTTCTAGTACTACAACTACTGCTAATGTCAACTAAAGTAGTACTTTCCCCTCTACTTCAACTGCTATTGCTCCTATTTCTACTTTCTCTACTGCTGCTATTGCTACTATTTCTGCTTTCTCTCCTACTTTGAGAATGTCAAACTACTTCTACTGCTTACATGACTACTAATATCACTACTTTGACTACTTATTATACTACTTCTGGTACTACAACTTAAACTTATGCCACTTCTCACCTTCCTGCCTTTTAAGGCAATTTCTTTCTTCATTCAAACTTTGTGCAATTTTAGACTTTTTTTTTGCATTTTTCAGCATGAATAAAATTTCCTTTTATAGAGCATATTCATACTATTTGTCCTTCAACCAATTAAACAATTATCCAACTTCTATTTCTTTTTCACCCCTTCAACAGCTTTTACATTTATACCATTATCCATGTTTTATTAGCAGTTTAGTATTGCTTTTTCAGCTATCAGCACTCAGCATTTCCACGCATTTTCTGCAAGGAAATGCTGATTAAGCATTTCCACTTATTGTTATTCCTGTCGGCCATTTTCTATATTATTAAACCTATTATTATTCTTCCGTCCCTTTTTTGGACCTCTTCTCCTCCTTCAAACTTTGTGTGATTTCAACTCTACTACTTTGACTTGTACTTCTTCTATTCTCAAACTTCATCCTGGGGTTTAAGGAAATCGCGCTATGTAAAGAAGTTCAGGGCTCTAAATTCGATGCAGTTAGGCAGCTTCTTATTCCAAGTGGCAGTTGGTCTCTTGGATCTCTCTCACTGCTGTTTAGAATGCATTGTTTAAGAGACAGACACACATACACACACCCTGACAATGTGTGTGCGTTAGTCTATCTCTGTCTATAAGACCTGTATGTACACACAGTAAATATGTGCATGGGTGGGTCTCTCTCTGTCTATTAGACCTATATGCTCACACTTTCTTTGACCATGTGTCTGCTTCAGTCTCTTTCTATAAGACCTATATGTACAGAAACAACACTCTCAAAATGAATGTGTTAAAATCATACACATTTTTTGTGTTACTATATTTTAACATTTGTTATGTTATATTTACACATCCTGTGTTATTATCCTAGACACACTTTTGAGTTAATGCTATTTTAACACATAAAATAGTTATCATGTGAATTAAACACAACATGTGTTAGCCACTGCTAGGTCAAAGAGGTTATTAATGAGAACACCTGCCAGGGTTATTTTTTACCAAGCAGTGGCTTTATTAATTGTCCTACTTTTGAATAATTCTGGAATCATCTTTTTTTATAAATTCTGTAACTTTTTTCTTTATTTATTTTTAATTTTTTGAGAGGGAGGAAGCCCCTCAGCAGGGGAATCAAACCTCCAAACACCCAGTCTCAGGGTGGACCACAAGGCCACTGAACTGGTATCTGAGACCAGATTCTTGAGTAGCACTGTGCCCTGAAGACAGGAGTATACCTTTCCTCACACACAGACGTATGGTTCTCTTAATTGACTATGGTTTGGGTTGTACTATTTTAACTCAATAAAAATAAAATATTAAGTTCCATTTAGGGGGGAAATAAATCCAAATATATAAGTCCCATTTCTGTAGGACCCCCAGCTGATATGTCCACTTTACTCAGACACCTGGATGGTCCCTGGCTGGGTGACCCTGGGTCATGGAAGCTTGTAGCTCTAATTTAGGGGTGTGGATTGGAGCAATGCACTGAGAAAGTTGCCACATGAACCAGCTCTGGAAAAAAATCATGCTGTGTAATCCCTTCTTTGATCCTCCTGGGGGCAGCACTCGCCACTGCCTTCGATGGCTTTGAAATGCAACAATGGCAGCTGTGCTAACAGCTACAGGCTAATAATCAAGCTCGCTGAGGAGTTGGTCTGCACTCACAAATGTGTGAGAGGCACATTTACATTTGCAACTCAAACTAGACGCCACGGGAGTAACGCCATTGTAACCCGGCCCAGCGCACAGCCTCGAGCCGCAGGGGACGGTTGTTTGACATGCCATGTCTGTATTTTAGGTGTTCCATTGTTGCACTGATGGTTTAAGAATGAAATGTTTACAAAATGTTTAATGCTTATACTCTGTGTTTGCACTATATTTTGCTCTCAAGTTTGCACTAAAGTCTTACAAAGTCCAAGATTTTGCACTGCTGCCTGAGCCAAATAAATTTTATAAAAGTGACTTGAAATTCAAGCAATTGTTTATTCTTTTTAGTGACCAGGTTTGGTAATTTAGCAGATAATCGCAGTAGCTCAGGAGGTAAGAGCGGTCGTCCAATAACTGGAAGGTTGGCGGTTTGATTCCCCCCCTATCCGAAGTCTGTCCATTGTGTCCTTGGGCAAGACACTTAACCCACCTTGCTCCCGGTGTGTGTCCACCACTGGTGTATGATTGTGAGTGTTGTGTGGTGGTCGGAGAGGCCGTAGGTGCAAACTTGCAGCCACGTTTCCGTCAGTCTGCCCCAGGGCAGCTGTGACTACTAAGGTAGTTTACCACCACCAAAGTGTGACTGTGTGAGCGAATGAATGCTGTATCCAATGTAAAGCGCTTTGAGGGTCTCTGATAAAGCGCTATATGAAATCTGATGCATTATTATTATTATTTATTTGACTGAATAAGATCTCCACTTCATCCTTTTCCCCAGTTTTTTATCCCTCCCACATCTCCTTCTATTCTAAACCCACTATCAGTACTATGACAAGTACTACAGCTAATATGACTACTACTATCACTTCTATCACTATTCATCTTACTACTACTACCACTAAAACTTCTACAACTCCTTACTCAAACCCTCCTGGGGATCTTTTAGGTCCTATCAGTTGTATTTTTGCTGTCATTTTCACCTTCATTATGCTGGTATGACAATAATTTTTTAAGGTGTTAATTTTTTTAATGAATTTCTATTTCCCACAATGTGTGGATTAAGTTAACCACTGTGTTAACCACCTTTCCATCGAGTGAAGTGTGAAATTTCAGAGTGTCCCTGAACGCCTCAAACATTTCTACCGGGACTCTGCCTTGGCTCGTGCTATCCTGCTGCATCTTACAGAAGGGTGAGTCAGAGCTGAGTCTCTGTCAACGTCTAAACATTAAAAATTGGGATTTAACCTTTCAAGACGGCACTGGTTTGAGTTATAATCGATGAAGAGTTCATTCATGATTGAAGTGGTCAAGATGTTGACTTGAAAAAGCTTACGCCAACAGCGTTAGCATCGAGCTAGCGGCGTTAGCGGCGTTAGCGTCGTTAGCGTCGAGCTAACGATAAAGCTAACATACCGTCATTTATGGGGCAGTGTGACTGTAAGTGTGACTGTGTGAGCGAATGAATGATGATCCAATGTAAAGCGCAATGCAATTTGTAAATTGTATGAAAATAAAACACTTTTGTGTGAAGAATACATAACGCAGCTATGTGTAAATTGCATGAAAATATGACACAGCTCTGTGTTATCTTTGTGTAAACCCAACACAGTTGATGTGTTGACACATTTAACACACAACATGTGTAAGATCTGTCAACACAAAGTCATGTGTCACAACAACACATTGTGTGTTGTCCTTAACTAGACACACGGATGTGTTAAGAAATAACACATGATGAGTTACTTTTGACACATTTGTTTTGAGAGTGTACTGTAGTGTACTGTAGTGATGCATCTATCTTCACCATGGCACCAATTAGTGATTCATACTCCCACTAAAACGTATTCCACTTACTTTAACTTTGACCATGTGTGTGCATTACTGTCTTTGTGTCTATAAGAGCTACTCGCGCACACACACACACACACACACACACACACACACACACACACACACACACACACACACACACACCATTTTTACTCGTACTTCCACTTTTACTACTACTTCTACAAATACAACCACTACTAACATCACTTATACTAGTACTCCCCTTTACGACTTCTGCGACTACCAATTCTACTACCAGTACTACTACCACTTCTACAACTACTACTACCAGTTCTACTACTACTACTACTATGACTAGCTCTACAACTGCAACTTCTATCCCTCTACATCTTCTTCTGTCCTTTTTTTTTCAATAACTTCATTTATTGGAAGCAATTACACAGACAGCAACATGTCAGTGCAATGTGACAGAGAAGATCTCCACTCTATCCTTTTCCCAGTTTTATATCCGTCCCACATCTCCTTCTATTCTAAAACTACTATTACTACTGTGACAAGTACTACAGCTAATATGACTACTATCACTTCTACCACTACTCACCTTACTACTACTACCACTACTACTACAACTAAAACATTACTGTCTTTGTGTCTATAAGAGATACTCTCACACACACACACACACACACACACACACACACACACACACACACACACACACACACACTACTTCTAATAGCACACTGCAGATAATAAACACAACCCCAGATTGCTTTTTACAACAACTGATCTTTTAACAAACAATAATTTTAACAGAACCCCCGGGTCATCCTGTGATACCCTCTGTGAAGATTTTGCAGACCACTTCAGGAGTAAAATCGACAACATCAGATCCAGTCTTTCAACTCAACAGATTTTAACTGCCAGCATACCTGGATCATTGCTTTTACCGAAGGAAACACTGGAGAGTTTTGCACTGGTTGAGGTGCAGACACTTGGTTGAGTTTTCTCCCAAGTAAACCCCACAACCTGCCTTTTTAGATCCAATTCCCACACCGTTTTTTAAATAATTTTATGGATTCTTTGAGGAACAGCTTTTAAACACCTCAGTACTGATACAGCCGTCTGAAAGATTTTGAATGACATCAGGTGTCATTCAAACTCACAGTCTTGGTCCTGCTGGATCTAACTGTCGCCTTTGATACAGTAGACCATCACATTTTATTAAATAGACTAAAGCACCTGGTCAGCCTCTCAGGCACTGTTCTTAATTGGTTTACCTCTTATCTTACTGATCGACACTTCTTTGTAAGTATGGATACATGTTCCTCAAGGACCCACAAAATTAAGTGTGGGGTTCCCCAGGGGTCAATTTTAGGCCAAAGTCTTTTTAATCTCTACATGCTTACCCTGGGGGACATGATCAGGAGGCACGGCATCAGCTTCCACAGTTATGCTGATGATACACAACTGTACATGGCCATGTCTCCTGATGAGAGCGTCAAATGATGCCCATTTAAATTGCATTTTAGACATTAAGTCCTGGATTAAGCCAATTTCCTGCAGCTCAACCAGGACAAAACAGAGGTTTTAGTTATTGGTCCTGAAGGCCTGAGAGAGACACTTTTACCAAAACTGCAAGATTTTAAAGTATTCAAATCTGTAAAAAACCTAGACGTAACTTTCAACTCTGAGCTCAGTTTTATTCCACACATCAAAAACATAGCAAAGGTATGTTTTTACCACCTTAAGAATATAGCCAGAGTCCGTCTGTTTCTCTCTCAGGCCAGCACAGAGGTGTTGATGCATGCTATTATCTCCTCTCATTTAGATTATCGTTGATGTCCTGCTCTCTGGCCTCCCCAAGAGGAACCTACATACCCTTCAGCTACTACAAAATTCAGCTGCAAGAGTTCTGATGAGGACCAGAGGACGAGAGCATATAACGCCAGTTTTAGCATCGCTGCATTTCATCCATCATCAACTCCTCCTTCATCTCCGGCTCCGTCCAACCAGCCCTCAAACTGGCCGCCATCACCCCGATCCTGAAAAAACCTGGCCTTGACCCCAACTGTCCAAGCAATTTCCGCCCCATTTCCAATCTACCATTCCTGTCAAAGATCTTAGAACGTGCCGTCGCCTCACAACTCACAGCCCACCTCCAATCCAACAACCTGCTTGAACTGTTCCAATCAGGATTCCGCAACAAGCACAGCACAGAAACAGCACTGCTAAAAATCACAAATGACCTCCTGCTCGCCTCTGACTCTAACCAACTGACCATCCTCCTCCTCCTGGACCTGTCTGCCGCTTTCGACACCATCAACCACTTCATCCTCCTCAACCATCTATCATCTGACCTCCACATCACCGGCACCGCACTCTCATGGATCTCATCTTACCACTCCAACCGTCAACAATTCATCCATATCAACCAGTGCTCCTCCTCCACCGCCCCATTCCCCCAAGGTGTCCCCCAGGGATCGGTGCTTGGTCCCCTACTCGTCACCCTCTACCTACTCCCCCTTGGCAACATCATCCGGCAACATGGACTCAACTTCAACAGAGGACTACAATAAAAACATTATTGGAAAGGTCTCCACCTGGGGAATAAAATATGTGGGTTTGGAGGTCGTAAATGGCTCCTTGTAATTCAGCACAAAAAGGGGCTACAGAAATGGGACAAAGTGTGCTTGAAAGCCTATGAACTCAGCTGTGTGATTATACATAGTGGATATAGTCAGCAAGTGGAGGTGCTGCCCAAAATGGGAAACATATATTGTCACCCACTTTTATTATAAACACTTATATTCTGTTCACAGAAATGTGTTTCCCACTCCCCAAACCGCTGTTATGCATTTATTTTATTATTTATAAACACCTATTCCAGGAGTATCAAATATGTCAATAATCATGGTAGAAACTACAAATGCCATGAGCTGCTATGTGTGGCTTGATACAAAGTCACTTGATATTTGCATTTTTTTCAGTTTTCAAATGTATGTTAGAATAGGGTTGTAAAAAGCCATATAAACTGATGACATCGAATCTCTAGTAAAGCCAAACAATCAATGACAGTGCCTTAAGTTGATATGTTGAGGAAAAAATAAGTATGGTTTATTTAAGTTGTTTTAGAACCGTGCAATGCAGATTTACACCAAAAAGCAATGGAAGCTGGTTCTTCCGCTGTATAAAACAGAAGATCTGGGGTTACGACTGCTTTATATACTGTGTAGCAATCAAGACAACCCTGGATGTGAAACCCACACATTCCTTACAGGAAAGTTTCCTTATCTGGTCCCAGGAAACAGGATATAAATCCTTCCAGACGTGTTTGCACTTTCAGGTTAAATAAGTGACCCAACCGAAGGTTGACTAAACCTCTGACTCTTCAGGATTGGTCAGTTCGGCGAACAGAGACAGAGTTTTTATTACCTTTCAAACTGACTCCATTACTGACCATCTAAATAAACATTAACGTCTCAACCCAGATCTCCCATTTGAGATTTAGCGTCTTAAAGTGTGTGAACATACGGACCCCAGGATAAGGGGGGACACTGACCTCCAGACCTCGGTCGTAAAACCCTGCTCGACCATACACTGATAAAGACTGCATTCCTTTGGTGAAAGAATACAAATGACTGATCATGACATCTTATGCATTCAGCAATGTACTAATCTGTCTAATCATGAAATTTGTGTTAAAATGAGATGTTTCCCGTTTTTCTATGTGCTTCAGAAGCCAAGTTATCTTATCTGACAGAATAAATCCTTATTCTTTAGTTCTTTAGACCAACAGCTTTTCAGACTGTTTCATGAACTTTTAAGAGTTAAATTTATTGACTATGAATCCTAAGTTTACTCTAAGTAACAGAAATAGTTTAGAAATGTTTGGTTTATATTTTAGTTATTTATTTAGTATCTTAACCATTAGGTGGTTATAATGTCACTGAATAATCTGAATGTGAGTATTTAGAATCCATTATTAATCATGATGACGTTCATTCACATGTGTTTACTCTTTTGTTGTTCACAGTTTCTATGTGTTACTATCTGTTTCATTTCAGAGTAATTTAGCATGTTCAATGTGATACTTAAAACATAATGAGAATGTTTGATGTGATCCTACCCTTCATTCATATGTGTTTAGTATCAAATTATTTATCATGAAACCAAGCATTCAATGATATTAATCATAGTGAGTGAGTATCAGATCTGACTCTTTTACCAGCCAAAAGAATAAGTTAGATCAAATAATCAGAGACCCGATGACCCCCTCCTCTTTCTCCTCAGACACTCCCAGTGTGAGAAGATAAAACCAGTGGAGTGGGGTTGCTCACTCTCTTATTCCGCTTATGCTTCTGCTCTTCTGCTCTTCTGCTCTTCTGCTGACTCTCTTGTCCCCGGCTCTTATGCCCCTTCTCTTCTGCCCACACCCTTCTGTGGTGCGTTTCTTTGTTTTCTCTTAGAACTTTTTCTTAGTCTTCTAAGTTTTACGCCACGTGTTGATTCACGTTGATTTTCCTTTAACATCGTCTTAGTTCAAGTTTTGAAACTTCAACTTTTTGTGCACATAGCAATTCAAGATTAAGCCTTTGATTGATTTTTCTTTAATTTCGCGAAGCCATTTTTGAAAGTTTTCTCTGCTCTTCGAGCCTCGTTTTTCTGAGTTTTCTGCGTGATTTCAAAGTCACCTCCGAACGCAACCCAACAGGCCCAGGTCATCCTCTGTGCCAGAGTTTTTGAGTGAGACCAAAGAAGTACCCAAACGAGCATCCACAGGATCCACAGGCGCTGGCTTTGCTTCGGGCCCGAGTGCTGCAACTCCTGGCTCATCCTTCGGCTGACTTCAGTCGTCTTCTGAGCTGAACCGCTCAAACCGCCAGTAGCCCGGACCTTCGGAACCTGCTCCATCTTCTCCAAGGACCAGTCTCACTTAAGTATGCAAACCTCCAGAGCTCCAAAGAGGGCTGGTGCTGT